GAAGTCTTGAACTTCAAAAATGCAAACTTCAACAAGTTAGGTCACTAGTAGGGGAAGTGCTAAGTGGACCAGGGACCAAAGGCAAAAGGTGTGTACAAAGAATGCTTGTTCCTTAAGGACATGATCCTTGAAGCACAAAGGAAGTCCAGTCCTATGTAGAGAAAAGGTAACAGAAGGGCTGGGAAGCCCTCTTGGTTAAACAGGGAAATCACGGTCCTCTTAAGAAAGGGGAAAAAAAAGGCTTATAAACAATGGAAGCTTGGGGCGTGCTCCAAGCAGGACTGTTCCACGGTGGTCCGCGTTTGCAGGGAACAGATAAGAAAGGCTAAAAAGGTGACTGAACTTGGATTAGCAACAGGAATCAAGGACAACAAGAAATCCTTCTTTAGGGCCATAGGGTACAGGAGGAAAACAAATGGGACTGTGGGGCCATTGCTCATCATTTCAGGAGAGCTGGTTACCAGCACCCAGGAGAAAGCTGAACTCCTGAATGACTACTTTGCCTCTGTCTTTCACCGGACCAAGGGGAAAACAACACCAGGTAGAGTACAGGGTGATCACGGTAGGAATAATCGTCTTCCTACTATTGCCATAGAATTAGTGTATGACCACTTAAAAAAAAATTAGACATATACAAGTCAGCGGGACCAGATGATCTTCATCCAAGAGTGCTGAAGGAGCTGGCCAAATTCATTGCGGTCCCCCTGGTAAAACTCTTCCACAACTCGTGGCACTCTGGAGAAGTCCCTGAGGACTGGGAGAGGGCCAGTGTTGTGCCTATCCACAGGAAGGGCAGGAGGGAGGGCCTGGGTAGCTATAGGCCAATCAGCCTAACTTCCATCCTAGGGAAAATCCTAGAAAATTCATCAAGGAGTCTATCTGCAGTAAGCTTGCAGAAGGTAAGATTCTGAAGCATGGCTTAGTTGCGGGCAGGTCTTGTCTTACCAACCTCATCTCCTTCTATGACTGGGTAACTTGCCACCTGGACACGAGAGCAGGTTGTCATTGTATGTGTTGTCCAAAAGGCCTTTGATCTAGTATCCCATGATGTCCTTGTGAGAAAATTGGAGGATTGTGGGCTTAACTCTGAGACAGTCAGGTGGGTGAGAAACTGGCTGCAGGATAGGACCTAGAGAGTTGAAATGAACAGATCTGTGTCATCCTGATGAGAAGTGGGCAGCGATGTCCCGCAGGAGTCTGTGCTTGGTCCAGTACTTTTCAACATCTTTATTAACGATTTGGATGTGGGGGTGAAGAGCTTATTGGCTAAGTTTGCAGATGACACCAAGTTATGGGGAGCGTGGTCATGCTTGAAGATGGGCTGTAGATACAAACAGATCTAGACAGGCTGGCAAGTTGGGCGGATCAGAACCTGATGAAGTTCAACGTTGAGAAATGTAAAGTGCTCCACCTCAGAACGAGCACCCCCAACACATTTACAGGGTTGGCAGCACCAAGCTGACTAGCACCATGAAAGGGACCTAGGGGTAACAGTATGACTATGAGCCAGCAGTGCGATGCTGTAGCCAGTAGGGCAAATAATACTCTGGCATACATGTCTTGATTCTTCCGCTCTATTCAGCATTGGTGAGACCGCAACTGGAGTACTGCATCCAGTTCTGGGCACCGCACTTTAACAAGGATGTGGACAAGCTTGAGAGAGTCCAAAGAGCCACCCATATGATCAGAGCCTTACACGGCAAGCCATACGAGGAACGGCTGAGGGACCTGGGACTCTTCAGCCTGAGGAAAAGAAGGCTGAGAGGGGACCTGGTACCAGCTTACCACTACACTAGGGCAGTGCATCAAGGGCTCGGAGAGCAACTGTTCACCAGGGCACCTTTGGGGAAAACCAGAAGTAATGGCCACAAACTCCTGGACGACCAATTCAGGCTCAACATTAGGAAAAACTTCTCAGCGAGGTGTCCAGACTGTGGAATCAGCTCCCTCCATAGGTGGTACAATCACCTCCCCTGGAGATGAAACTTCAAGAGGAGATTGGACAGTCACCTCGCTGGGGTCACCTGACCCCAGTTATTTCCTGCTTGGTGCAGGGGGCTGGACCCGACAATCTTCCGAGGTCCCTTCCTGCCTTACAATCTATGAATCTAAATTGAAATTTCATATTTAAGGCTTTATTTCTTCTTTACATGAAAGTGATTTGGTTTTTTGGGGAGTTTTTTTTATTATAAACTAGGTAAGTCCAGAGTCTTTGGCTTCGAGGTTGAGAGAACTTCAGTCTCGGGCAAACACAAACTTGGTTTGAACAAGACACTGTTTGTTTGCTTCAGGACATTGCAGAATACTTCTGAGTGTAAGCAGCCGCTTACTGCATCAGATGCACCTGAAATCACTTTGGAAAATGCAAGATGGAGAGAGTAGATATTATGGATTTTAGGTCCTGAAAACAAGAAATACAGTTCAATTTTTTTTCCTCTGTCCCACCCGTTCCCTGCCCCCTTTCTCCCACAGAAGCCTTCAGATGAAGAAAGTATAGCACTATTAAAACACTTCAGGCTAGATTTTGCGCTCTCTCTCTCTCTCTCTCTCTCTCTCTCTCTCTTTCTCTCTCTCTCTCTCTCTCTCTCTCTCTCTCTCTTTCTCTCTCTTTCTTTCTTTCTTTCTTTCTTTCTTTCTTTACAGGTGTATACAGCTCAGTAACTTCACCTGATAAGCCTTAGTTGGCTTCATTCACCCTTAAATATGCTGTCTCCCCCCCCCCCCAACTATCCATTAGACCAGTTAAGAAAACACCGCAGTGGGAGGCTTATTGCCCTGAGTGCAAACATTTGGTGCCTTTTTAAAACCTTCAAACAATTTCTTGGTAAACGGTGTATTGTGGGCTGGGAATCATGGCTCCACTGCCTGTCCTGCAAACGCACAGTGCAATGCCTCTGATTGGCTGGTAATGTTAGAGTGCCAGCTAATTAAGAAATCAAAAAAGAACTGATGGAATATTGACACAATACCAAGTACCTGGCGATCTAAGCCATCAGTACTGGGGCATGAGTTGGCAAATGGGACAACCTGACTGCCTCCACTCACTAGGGCTTCAGAAAAGTGACTCTGTTTGTCTGGTGGCTTCCAAAATTCTGTACAGATTTTAAGGAATCTACTGGGTTCAGAAGGGAAAATTGAATCACTGCTGCTTTTACAGGCAGTAGATTGGGAAGGTGGGGAAAGTATTTCCTTTCCTCCCAATGAGGAATTTGAAGTGTTTCCTAAGGGGACCATCACAGACACTGTCCCAGAGCGGGGTTTTATGGTTGCTGAGTGGGTCTAAGAAAGAAACACTACGTTAAGGCTATCCAGGCCACTGGATGTTATTCATATAGCTAGGAAAAGCGACAACTGAACAACGGTAGCTAATAAAACAAACAATGTCGGAGCTTGACACAAAGCTAGTTGTCCTATGTAGGTATCTATGGGACTCCCAGCAGCATACCTCAAACTCTTAACAGACTGTCTGAACCAGCTTTTTGTCGCATGCACCTGGTTCCAAACTATTACTTAAGTGACCAGGACTATTAGACTTTGGCTTTAAGACATGAAAACAAAGAAATGCGCTGTGCTGCTTTATGGGCTGTCGAATGCATCCAAGGTTTCTGGGACTTATAGTGTCTGAGAGCGGGACTTTTGGGTTTCTGGTCCTGCATCCTGTATTAAACACAGGAAGTGTAAGTGCTTTTCACAGGGCATGTCTACACATTCATTAATTCATGGTAGTTACTGTACATTTAATTTAGTACTTAATGAAATACTAATTAAATGCTCAGTAACTGTAGTTACTGCACAGTAGTGTTGGCAAACACCTCTTTAGTGACGCTACTGCATAGTATGTATTAGCGCTATCCATGCTGCGATGTGCTACTGTGCAGTGTTATTAGGCTACTGTGCATTGTCTCATATAGACGTGCCTACAGTCCTATATTTTGCACATGCATTCAGTTTCCCCAGCGAAGGTGGAAAGTAGTGATGCCTTAAGGGAACTTATCTTCCCCCAGAAATTACTGGAGATGAATTGGTTCTTAAGGCAGGTTAACTGTGTGAGCAGAGGCAAAATAGCAGCAGACGCACATTCAGCATTTGCTCATCTGCACCCATGACAATATGCAGTAAGAGATTCAGCCCTAAGCAGTTTTCTTCATGCAGGTGGATATATACCACCCAGAGGGAGGATGCAGGCAGGCCTGGGGACAGAGGCCTTGCTGACTCTTGTCAGTGACAGCCCAGGGCCAGGGCCAGCCCGGTGCTCGGGCAGAGGAGTTTAGCTCTGGCTGAGGCTAGACCAGTGCCCTGCAAGGGGGGTTGAGCAGCGGTGCTGCAAAGCCCCATGGGTTGCTGGTGGAATGCAATGTAATATGCATCACGATGGGATCTGTTATGGATGTTCAGTATGGTGCTTTCGCTTAAAGTGCTAAAGCCTGATACCACATCCATCCAGAGTTATCTTAGAGTGGGATCTGCCATTTTTACAGCACTCTGTGCCCTGACCGCCTATTTGGTTACAACTGTAGAGCACTCTCTGCATGCCTGTCGCGCAATAGTGTAACTTTTATGTACCTGGCCTCAATTTCCACTTCCCTTTGTAAGTTGCTTCTATTTTTTCATTTCCGGAAATGAAACATTTCTGTAGTCTCAGCTACTGTATAATTGGTCTTCCAACAATAAGTATACTCCCACTAGAGTACATTTATAATGATGGCAGTATGAAATCTAAGTGCGTAATGCAGATTCCATTAAATACAAATTCTAATTATATAATACAACCACTAGAAGTTGCTCAAGTCTGTCCAGTTATTGCTAAAAAGTAATGTAGTGGGAAGGAAAAGAGAACTTTGTTGGTTGTTTTTTTTTTCCATCTTAATCTATAAATAGAAATAAATGGCTTATTGAATCATATTACTAAAATGTAACTATCTGGATGTGCTTGTCTACAGGTACAAAAGCCATGTCCAGTTATGGGTGAATCCTTTTTAACTGTTCTGCTTTTGTTTCAGCAGCTGGCTCTACTCGGGAGGTCTTGCAGACTAACAGGCAGCCAGAAGAGCCTACAACTCCAAGCACTACTACTCTTCCTGCTCAGTTCAAACAGAGAACCCCTATGTACAATAGTAACTCTAACCCACCTGCAACTACACCTACCTCACCCCTAACACCTACAACGCCTCCAGCTATTTCCCCTGCTGCACAAGCACCACAAGTGACCCCCCAAACTCAGCAGCAGCCACCACCCAAGAAAAGTCTCTCACTCACGGTACGTATCAATGTATTCCTTGATGATTGCTTTTCCTGTACCTCCTGAAAGCTCTTTACCATTAGCCTTGAGGGTATGCTAATTTTTGTTTTGTTCACTAGCCATTACTTGTTTTTTGGCACTGGGGCATAGGTGAGGCTTCAGACGTTACCTAGGGATAATGGAAACGCATTGCAGTCTAGTTAACATTGCTATTGAACACTCTCCTGCATCTCTGGGTTTTACCTGTTCAACCTTAGATTTTTTTTTTGTTACCTTATTTCCTTACACTGTTTAAAACTGAATTACTTTTGTTTCTAATGATGAAAAGGCCCCACTGTGGCTGCTAGGATTACAAGTTGAAATAAATGGAGTGGGAATGGTACGTTTCCAGTTCAGAGAGGAGTTATAATGTAAAATGACAAAGACGAAAAAGGTGACATAAAGTCAAGCCTTGAATTTTTTTGATGTTGTAAAACTCCATGCACCCTCCAATCTCCTGGCTGCAGCTCTTCTGCTCCTGATGAAAGAGCTGCATGTGTTCCTGTCTACACACATGCATATGCTTGAAGGTTAAGCATGTGAAGTGAAGCACTGTTATGCTAAGCATCTCTAGGTGCTGACAGATGGTGGAGCATGCTTTAGGGGAAGCAGCAGCACATTACTTTGACCCAGCTCTGCATCATCTGTATAGATCGGGTACTTCAGCGGGGCTTGTTTGTGCTTTTATCCAAAGCGGATTCAATAGGTAAAACTGCCAAAAAACTCCCACTAAAGTGCCTGACCTGTGCAGACTTGGGAAGTCAGGTGCAACTAACACAGTGCCTTTTTTGGGCATGTGCTGGGCTTGGCCCAGGAGCACACAGCTTAAAGTGCCTTTTCCCTTTGTATCTGCAAACAGCTTCTGTTTCCAGAATTGGATTTTAAGGAGGAGCCAAGTCTGTCTTTTCTGTCTTTTTAGTTTGTTGCATTCACTTTTGTTCTCAAAAATGTACCAAAGGTTTGTAAGATTCATATTGTGCTGTTGCAGAAAAGGTAGAACTGATTTAGTATCTGCTCAAGTATTGGCAGAGGCTTCAGAGACTGCCTTAGTACAGTTTGAAAATGATTGAAACCACCTTCTTGTTGCTGCCTCTTCTCAAGCCCATACAGCGGTCATTGATGATGGGGACTCTTCTTTAACTGCTTCTTGTATACGAGTTCATTTTGAACTCCTTCCTTCCCTCCCCTCCTTTTGACAGTAGGGAAAATGGGAAGAGGGTGTTTTTGAAAGAACTTTTGTTTGGACTCTCAAAAATTCACCTTCTGGGCAAGGCCAAGCACAAACAGTAGAATACTTCTCTACTAAAAAGAGACGCTTTAAAAGTGGGACTGATGTGAATCCTATGGCAGTCTTAACATGTGCTGTCATGTGCCTGGTGCGGTATGAACAAAGATTGTTTGTCATCTTTGGCTTTTAAAAAGTATATACAGTACTATTCTATTCAATATTGCTTTCTCTACTGAAATACACACTTTGTTTTAATGTGTTGCAGAGGGAGCAGATGTATGCTGCACAGGAAATGTTCAAGACTGCAAATAAAGTTACAAGGCCAGAAAAGGCGCTCATACTTGGATTCATGGCAGGATCCAGAGGCATGTATTAAGACTAACATGGCTTTATTTTGAGGTGTAGAGATGTGACTAATGCTGCATTAGTGACAACGGGGCAGCATCTTATTGTGTGGTTTAAGTATAACAATTTGGAAGAGTCTGAAGAGAGTCTTTTGTAAGGGGCTGGAGCTGCCTTGCTGCGTTCTTTGTCAATACTGTCCCTACGGTGGTAGCGGAAGTAATCCTTATGGGACAGCTGTCTCATCAGACTGCCTTGCTGCCCTAACTTTTTTTATTTTTGGCAGTTACAAAATATGCCCCTTAGGACAAACACGTTTGAATAAATAAATATCCAAAAAGTAAATGTGGAAGAACAGACCCACATGGACAAACTGGTCCAGGCTGTTGCCAAGTAAAAAATACTTGTAAGCCTTGCATTGAGTCCAGAAACCAGTGAATTCAGCTCTTCTGTCTGAGCAGTCCCACAGTACAGAGCCTGCTCGCCCCCGTTCTTCAGTATGTTAAACAGGCACTCTTGTCTCGGATCCTGTGAATCGCTAGGAGATGAGCCATCTTGGAATGTCAGATCTCAAGTTATATCAGGCGTTTATAGATCAAAGTTTTACACAACGATTTGGATGTAATGGTCCCTGAACTCACTCCAACATCTCTGGCTTTGATTTTAATACTTAACAGATCTTGTCACCGTAGAATCTAAGCCCTTACAAGTAGAATGCATCACAGCGGTCCAGCCTTGAGGTGACATGGGTATGAACTACTATAAATTTGCAGGAGTCTCTTGTATATCTTGATTGGCACAGATGAGAAGATGTGTTTTTTTTACCCAAGGTATTTCCTGAGCTTCAAGGAACAAGAGAATCCTACACTACCTCCAAACTGAGCTTCCTAGACCATTTTTTGTAATGTAGAATCATATGCATTTTAAGTAGATATTCTCCTGTGATCACCTGCATTCTTTGAAAGGTCAGGAAATGGACAGTGTAGTATGTGGTCATATTCTTTAGTCTCACTATCCATACTACCCCAGTGGGTAGAAACTGTCGTTTAGCTTTGAGAGGATTTGAAGGAAGCGTATTCCCAAACTGCTGAAGCCTGCTTAGACTTGTACTAAGCTCTGTGTATGGTCTGATAAAACTGATTCAGAGGTTGGCTTTTTTGTGTGTGTTTTGTTTTGTTTTTTTTAATTTATTTTCATAATGCTGAACTGACAGGGAGAGGTTTCTTTTAGTACGCTTCCAAGACCTTCCTCCAGCTATCTTGCTAAGCCCGGAGTGTGGTCTCTTGGGCTTGGTTTCCATTGTTATGTTTCATAAACTTAATCCCTGAGTTTTGTAAGCATGTAGGTCCCAGCTTGATTCAAGGTGCTAGTGATACTGTAGCAGTCATTTTGTTTCTGCTGATATGGCAAATCCAGAGCTCTTTTTTACCCTTTAATTTGTTTCATAGACAGTATTGAGATGTGTTTAACTTTCAGTTTGATTTTTTTGAATGTTTTTAATTCTTGTTTCCACAGAGAATCCTTGCCAAGAGCAAGGTGACATCATTCAAATCAAACTCAGCGAGCACACAGAAGTGTTACCAAAGGCAGATGGCACTGGTAGCACCACCATGTTAGTCGATACGGTCTTTGAGATGAACTATGCTACTGGCCAGTGGACCAGACTAAAGAAGTACAAACCTATAACTAACGTCTCCTAAGGAATTCAGCAACAACAAACTGCGGACCAAATCGAGCTTAGGATCAGCTCACCTAGTGTCAGCTGTATAAAATGGCATTCGTGTGTAGGCTTCTTACCTTCCAGAACAGAAGTTGTGGCTCTTCAAACTAACTGGGCTCAGGTGAATGCAGCGCGAAGATGGTGTCAGACTGACAGATTTTTTTTTAATTTTTTTTTTTTAGTTATTTTAAAGAGGTGGGGGAAGTTAACATTTTATTCTGACTCAAGATGCTGGAAAGAGATCACAGCTGAATGCTTGTTTTTTCAGATTGGGAGCAGTTTACTTCCAGGCACCTGGGGAAAGAACTACTGCAGAATCTACTTGCAGTTTACCTTTACACAAGGGCACAGATTTTACTGCAGAAATATTTACGTGGGTTCCATTTAAAAAATGGATAGTTAAAACTGCAGTTGTCTTCAGTTATTCCTATAACTCAGTTACAGTAAGTCTAACTGTTGCAGCAGCAGATGTTCAATGTCCAATGGCTCTTACTATGTTTGGCTTATTTTTTTGCCAGGGTCATAGAGTGGGTTTGAGAGAGGTTTTTGTTGTTAACCTTGCTATATTGTCAATGTTAATGCGCAGCATGAGTTAATCCATGTTTGTCATAAATCAGCAGAGATCAAGAAAAATTGAATATCACCTTCTGTTAAGGAAAAATGACCATTTCCTTTCATGTCAAATTTAAGATTGCCAAAAAAACCCCCCCAACTTGTGGTCTGCCTGGGAGTGTTTGGTCTCTGCTGCCAGGTGAAGCTCAAACAGAAGTTTAACATATGGCTTTTGTACAGCAGGCCCTTCAGACAGCATCCCAGTCCTGGAGAGTGCCCCTAGGGACCAGTTGAGGGTTACTACAGATTTAAAAAAACTGATCCTTCCAGCAGCAAAGCGAGCAAACGTGAATGTAGAAGGCTGAGAAGACTCTCGTTTCTTTTTAGCACACATGTGACTGAGCAGTCGCTGGGCACTTGATGACCCAAGTCCTCATTTAAACATGCTTTTTATACCAATATAACTGTGTTAAGTGGTTTTTGTTTTCCACCAATACAGTTATAAACTACCGCTCCTTGGGTGGCCAGTTACACTCTCATAAAGATACCTTTTACTGCTATAGCTCTATTGCCTTCCTGTACAGGAATACATAATTTCAGTATAAGTGTAGTTACACTGATACAAGCATGTCCACCCACAGAGGTTATAGCTCTGCTGTTACACAAACAGTTCAATTTTATTTGTATAGAAAGAACTTCAGGGTTTAGCCCTTACTGGAGACTTGCAATAAGTTCAGTTCCTTCCAGTGCACATTTGGGGTTGCACTTAAGAGTGTGACACTGAGGAGGAAGAAGTGCAAAGGTAAATCGTGAAGCATCTGTGTGGGGCTGAGCAGGAGGGGCCTGTGCTATCTCCAGGCTGGCATTAAAGTAAAACATTAATCTGACTTTTAAGACAACACCACACAACCTTTTCCTAAAAGGAAAGCAAACAGCATCCCCAAAGTGATAGCTCTGTATGCTAACAAGGCTTTTAGCCATTTCAGGCTTTTTTTTTTTTTATAGTGGACGTTTTTATTTTCAAATTCCCAAACGAAGGGGAGGGTGTTTAAAATGTGTGCTTTTATTTACAACATACGTGACCAAAATTTTTGTGTTCTTAATTTTGTTTGAGCAGATTTTTCAGAACGTCTCACTTCATGTTCTGACAGGGAAGCTGAGTTCTGGTGAGAACGGTACAGAGCTTGTTGCCATTAAGGAGTCGGTACTTATATCTGCGCAAGAACTGTGCAGTGCAGCCCTACCTAATTGCCCCATTTCAGCAGAGATGTAGATTGCTGCTTTTTTCCCAAATTGTTACAAGTCAGTCAACAGATAATAGAAGGAAGCTACAATGAGTGTAGTGGGTTTTAGTTACTAGACTGAGTTCTCTATAGGATGCAGTTGCACGGTAGCTCTAACTTCTTTGACTTAATGCCATTACACATGAAGGGCTAACGTCAGAATATGAACAAAGCGTTCATCTTTTAAAAATGCTGTAAGGAAGAACTGATATTCCCTTTTGCATTTGCTGTCAGATTTTAATGCATAATTTTTGTAATAAGTTTTCTATAAAATAAGCCAGTCAGACCTTTCAGTCTTCGCTGCTGCTGCTTTGATAAGTAGGTTTTGGAGTTAAGGTACAGGATTTTTAGGGGACTGCACAACTTGTGGGATGCGAACTGTCCTCATCCTGAGTAGTTGGTTCAAAATTCAGTCCAGTGTGGCAGCATTCAGTAGTGTGCTATCAGATAGCTCCTTGGTTTCCATGAAATGAGTGGGAGGGCTCAGGCAATAGCAAATGGACAGATGCCTCCCCCCAATCTTGGCTGTCAGCACGGAGGTGCTCCCCTCCCTCCTCTTGAAGTGCTTTTGGAATCAGAGGCTAAAATAATAGAACGATGAAAGTGTCCGCTGGTTGCCCCTTCGCAGTGTGGATGGACACACTTCAGTCTCACAAACTAGTCCTCTGCAATATAAAATTTCTTTTTGACTGCAGTTTAACTTCACCTGGACTGCTATTGCTAGCACCAAGACGAGAACGCTCCGACAACAATTTGCTTTTAAAAAAAAAAAGGCAAAAGCAGACTCCTCTTGGCCGAGTCTGGCCCTAAGCACCAAAATGTTTCAACTTGCTCTGTGTATTGTGATGTATTTTAAATTAACTTTCTGAGGAAAGCGTTTCCATTTAAATGCTTTAGGATAATTACACTGGTAAAAAACCTAACTATAGGTAAACCCATGGCTCATAAATCAAAGGTACTGAGCCAGCAGTTAAGTAAGAGTAGGGATAGTGCCAGGCAGTTCAGGAGAGGGCAAAGCAAACACTTGAATTCCAGTATGTTATTTAGGGCTTTAATAGGTAGTAGGATACAAAACAAACTTGACCCCTTGAGCTTGATATTTTTTTTGTCTAAAGTATTCAGTCATTTAAGATGCTTGCTGGATTCTGTACGTGAGATTCAAAGGTGCATTGCAAAGTTAAATGAAAATAGTTAACTCCAGAATGATGCGCCGATGGCCTGGTAACACGGTGTAGAAGGCACGCAGATGGTTCAGAGCTAACCTTTTTTCTCTGTTGCCTCCTTTTCTTCTTCCTTTGCACAAGAACAGCATTGTAGCAAACAGCCCAGACTGTGCGCATGGGGGGAAAGAGCAGCCCAGCAAATTCCATCTTGCAGAGAGCAAAAGGAAACCCGAGGAAAAAGTTGTGAAAGCCCTTCCCAGCTTTGCTATGGAGGAGCCAGTAAGCTCACAAATCTGGGAGTAACCTGAAGAATTGGCTTTATCTGGGAATTGTGAAGTACAGAAGAGTGAGACTCCCCACCCCAGTCCTTCCCAGCCCACACCTTCCATCTCTTGCTTTTCCATAAGGAAGAAAAACTTGCTGCCTTGCAGGTTACTTTCTAGTTGCTGGTCCCACCCACATGAGAGCACCGAGTCTCTGGGCTCCAGGTAAGCCTCTTTCCTTGCAAGGAGGTGGGACCAGCAGTGGTGAGAGGATGGAATTGAGTGGATGAGGCCTTGTCGGGCTCCCTGGTCAGGAGTGTTGTGGTTATAGTCCCACCTCCCCCTTAGCCAAAAACATTTTTTCCCTATGATCATAGACTCTGATAATCCCCATGCAGTCATCCAAGACTGGCTTTGTTAGGGTGACTAGCATGGTAGCATAAGGCTAGTGCGCTAAGGGTTAACTTGATTTTTATTTGTAGCTTTACCATTAAATAAGATGCTAGACATGACTGGGGAAAATCAGCTTTTGAGTAGTTACTACTAAAAAATACCCCATGAGAAATTGCTAATTTCTCCCACTGAAGCATGTCCAAATGCGTTAAACCACTGGCTGACCTAGCCGACAAACTTGATACTTTGACATTGTGTAGCTTGAGGTTGGATTGCATTTTCATAGCAAGATCGGACTGGAAAAAAAAAGACTGAAAAAAATGTTAAGCCAGAGCCCACTGGGAATCTGGTGCCTTTAACAAGAAATGTCATTTGTAAAATGTTACATCTATAGCATAGCCCATATGTTTTCTATTAATTGTTTTTGTACAGTTGTAAATTCAAGATCTTCTGTCTCCGGGTACGTATTTTCAGTGTAATACAATATGTATAATAAAAGTTTAGATTTTCTAAAGAAACTCCAAGGCCTGTTTTTTACAATCCCCAGTGTCACATATTGTGCCAATGATTAATCTAGCAGTGTAAAGTGATAACTTGGTTGTATCAGAATATGTGCATTTATAGCCCAGCTTCAAAATATACTCAGTAGTGGATTGTTTATAGTGCTTATAATCTTGTTTTAGAATGGTGCTTGAGCTCTGACTTTTGCTAGTTTTCATAGCAGTGAAGTATTTATCATTTGCATGACGAATTGCACAGTAATATCTATTCTGAAGTCTTACAATCAAGTATAAAAAAGTTTTTCAATTAAAGTGTTTAGGTTTTAAATGCTGGAGAGATTTGTCTTGAGCTGGACTTCAACAGATAAAATTAGCCATCCAAATACAGGATCGCTCGGTTCCTGTACACATGCGGGGAACCTGCTGCGACATGCTGGAAATCCAGCGTGTCGGAGCAGATGGATCAATCAAGTCTACTGGAGTACGGAAATAAATGCACTCCAGCAGACTCTGGCCTCATGTGTATCAGCGTCCCCACACCAAGAAATAGCGGCGGGGCGCTTTGAACTAAAGCTTGCTCGATGAGCTTTAGTTCAAAGTGCCCCACTGCCATTTTTCAGTGCAGGGGACGCTAATACATGTGATGCTTGGACACTTTTAATTAAAAACGCTCACTAAAGCACCCCCCCTGCACCTCCCAAAGCATGTGTAGAAATGCTCACTGAGCCTGTGGTCCAACTACCACTATGCTGCTTATTTGTTTCTCCATTTTGCGTGGTAACAGTGTAGTTTCTTGTGTGTAAAAGAGAACAAGGGGTGTGTGCATGTGTGGGGCCCTCAAAAATGCTGTGATTACAGTTGGTTCTGAGAGAGATTTCCTCCAGCAGCAGAACCACTGTAAAAAAGCCTTCTAGTCTTTCAAAAATGAAATTTAAGTATGTAACCACCCCACATTTTTATCTAGTTCAGTGGAAAGCAGCTGAAGAAAATCTTAGACCAGAAAAGAACTGGTCATCATTGCCCTTGTCCTTCAAGTAATCAAGAAGGACGCTAAGGTGCACGGTTAATGGCCCAGCAATTGCAAGCAGAAGTGCTCAGAGTGCCGCCTTGTCACATCCCAACAAATCTGTGAGTTCTGCTAAAGACCTTGTAGCAAGGACACGAGACAGGAGAAGTGCTGATGTTCTTTAAGGCCAGCACGTGTCGGGTTCATTGTTTAGAAATAAGGCAGGACAGGTGGAAATAAGGAAGGACAAGTGGCACCTTAGGCTAAAAACAGACAACTGGTTTGATGTGGCCTAGGATATGACTTAAAGGTGTGGCCTAGCTGTTTACACATTAGGCTTAAATGGCAATTAAATCAATTAGTCACAATTGTTTTAAGGTGAAGTATTAATTTGAATAATTCACAGGTATTTAATGTGGGACACTGAGTTCGGTTGTCTGTAAGGTCTGGATTTGACCCGGCACAAGACACTCTGATGCAAATCAAAACTGGTTGTCTATTTTAGCCCTTTGACCCTCTGTACCAGTTAGTCTCTTACACTTTTCATAGAAGATCGCCACATGAAGTAATCAATTCTTAGCATCCAAAGTAGACTAAGTCGGCTGTCGCTCATGAAAGCATACGTCTCTCTGAACCAGTTGGTCTCTAAGGTGCCCCCTATCCTGCCTTCTCCCTGAACACTACCTCTTTCTGTTTAAAAAATGGTGTAGCCAGGAAGGTTGCAAATGGTAAGTGTACTTGCTCCTGCTTAGGTTCTTTCTTGTTGAGAGTTAAGGTCCCTGGTATTTGTCACAACCCAAGGGTGTGATTTTGTGTGCGCGCGCTTCGGCACTGCTAAATTTTCCCGCCACGAGGAGCTTTCTTTGCAAGGTGCATTTCTCAGTTGCATAGAGAGAACCCCGGTGCAAAGGAGTTCCCGCCACCCGCATGCAAATTTGTTCCCCACTATTGGCTGTTTCTAAACTATTCCCACGTGGCAGCTAGTGATTGGCTTGCTAGCCTGATCAACCTCTGGCCTCTCCCCGTCGCCGAACGATCCCTCGACGAACCCCTTCCCTGCGCGCAAGTTCCACAGAGCCTAGCAAACTTCGTGCGAGTGTATCCAGAGCTCTTCTCTGAGTTGTTTTCTTCGGTTGACACGACGGGCTCGCGGTTTAGAGCCTTCAACCGGATTGGGCTAGAGTTCGCGTGGAAGGAACTCTTGTCCGCTTTTCTTCTTTCCTGTCTGTAACTGCAATGCAAGCAAGTTTTCCTGCCTGCACCGCGACCATCTTCGGTGTAAGTAAAATAATCTTTAATCAACCGCTAAGCGTCCGTGCCTAATTCTAGTCCACCGGCCTGCATTCCCCGACCCGCACGCCAGGGCTGCTGGCCACAGCCCGCCGCGCACCCCCGAGGGCCTCGGACCGCTCCCGGCCCGCACAGTATTCATGGATGAGATACCAATATTAAAGCTACCATTTTAGCTATGGTGATTTGATTAAAAAAAAAAAAAAGTTTCCTGGGAAAGGTGCACAAGGAAAGATGCTTTACAACAGTGGTTTTCAACCTTTCTAGACTTAAGGCACCCTTTAAAAAAACACTTAGTTTTCACTCTTCTTCTTAATAAAAAAAAAAATAATAATAATACAGCATGTTTTTTCCATTGCAAAGAACTCGGAAATACCACAGTTGGTCAGAATATTTTTAATACTATGGATTCTTATTTGAAGTCATTGGGTTTATATTGTGAATTGTCTGCACACCTCACAGTGCTAATATTCTCAACGTCCCTAGCTGAGAATCATTGCTTTATAGAGAAGTTACCAGTCTACAGGATGTAGCGTTCATTACACCAACATGCATAGGAGCTTTTAAATACTAAAAAAAAAATTCATTAACAATATAAATATGTACAGCTAAAACTGCTGACTACATTAAGTTTAACTCAGCTTAAATAACGGATGCTTCCCTTTTTTTACTGTTAAGTACCTTGGCTCTGAAACCTGTACAGAGCACGGCTGTCATCTGTGCAGGAGGAAAACAATCCAAGTCTGCAATGCTAACAAGGCACCCATAAGTGTCTCAAAACAGTAACAGCTGCTGTTGGAAAATGGTCTTTGAAGTCACTCCAAGATTCACCGGGTTTATACACCTTCATGTTGGAAATGGGCACTGATGAAGCCGCTAAATTTGGCTTTCATCAATGCATCTCCTTTGCAGGAACTGGATCAAACAACTTGTGGAGGCAAGGTCAACGCTTCTGGCCTTATTAGGATCTGGCAGTTGGCAAGCCCTGGAAGAAGTGCAGGAAACTGGCAAATGGCACGAGGTGCCCCAGACGGGCTTCAGTGGCTTGAGTGTCAACTTGCCCAGTGCCACTTTGTGCTGATTTCTGTGGTCTGTGATGTTCTTAGAGTAAACGCTTCTGTTATGGAAAATGTCAATATTTAAGGGTAAGATGTGTTGCCTGGGGATTCCCATGGGGTGCGTTTCTGTAAGCATGGGAAGTAGGGGGTTCCCTGCTTTCAGAGAGATGCCCCAGGAAACCTCTGGGGCATGTCTCTAGGCAGGGAAAGCTGCAATGAAGTGACAGGAATGATTACCATCTTGTGTCACAGCCACAGATTAGGGCATTTGTGATGCAACAAAGGGTATAGACATTTGTTTGCTTTCTCGTTGTGCTGCCATGAAAATGGTAATGGAGGCACAAAGGCTACTTCTGTTTGCACCCAAACTGCCTGCAGGCAGAGCCCGTGGCCTCAGCAGCTGGACTATGACTTGGAATATGCTATCCTCCCCCACCCTCCCAAGCACATACTATATTTGCTCTAATTTAAGACTACCTGACCAATAATTAGATTCTATATATGGAAAATGTATTATTTCCATGTACAGAATGTGACCATCGGGGGGGGGGGGGCATCTTAAATGCATCCCCCCACACTGTTGCAGTGGGGGAAGCAGTGGCAGGAAGGGAAGCAGAGCAGGGAGTGGGGAAGTCAAGTGACCTGCCCCCTACCCCTTCCCTCTGCAGTCCCTGATGCTTGTCCCCTCTGGCACCTACCCCTTGTGCCACCTACTCCTGCACTGCTCCTCCCCTCCTGCTGCTGCTTACCCTCCATTGAGGCTCTGGCCCAGGGTGCGGAGCATGTGCTGGTTCTGCCCCTCCCTGGCTCAGCAGAAGCGGTTACAGTGGTGTGTGGTAATGGCAGCAGCTCCACAATTGGGTCAGGGCTTGGCCTGGAGCTGCTGTTGCTGCCACCAGGTCAGGTTGGGTTGGACCCCGGCTTGAAGGCAAGCCGTGGCGGGGGGGGAGGCGGGGGGGGAGGCCCGCACCCGCTCCCGGTGACAGCTGCAGCTCTGACCAGAGCCTGTGCTGAGGCTGGAGCTGCTGCTGCCGTGACCAGACTGGGGAGAGCGGTGGCTGGGGCGCAGGGCGGCAGCAGCTGCACCTCTGACCCGGATCAGGAGCCAGAGCTATAGCGTTACTTGCCCTTTGTGGCTGCCTTGTGCTCAAACCCAAGACGGGCTCTTCTCTCCATGTCAGAGTAAATATGGGAATCCTCAAGGGGCAGGCATGCAGGGAGCTTCAAACCTTGTGACCCACCTGCAAGGTGGTATTTAATGACTTCTCCTTTGCTGGAGGTGTTGATGAAGCCAGGCCTTGCAGTTGGGGTAGGCAATAAATTTAGTATTACAAGTTCATTAATGTTGCATTTGCTCAACTTTATGAAGGAAAAACATTGGTCATTATGCAAGATGCACCCAGCATAGTCAAAAACGATGCTCGGACGCTACTCCCCACGGGCCTGCCATATGCAGCCATTAACGGGAGCGGTAACTTTGGTCTAAAGGAACTTGATAGTTCTGCGCTGTTCCCACCGCTGCCTGACGTGCTGTTTAGAGACTAAACTATTGCTTACCAAATCTAGTGGCGACTGCAATGATGGTTTTGGTCTGATGCATACCTGTCCCCTGTCTAGCTTTGTTA